TATATATATATATATATATATATATATTTGTGATGTTTAACAGCTTGTTAGGTAGTAAAACATGTTTACTGTGATGTGTGCAGCTTTAAACAGGAAAAGGAAGGACATACCCTTGTGTCAATAAGAGATTATCTCGTCTTATTTACTTCCTTCCACCACTGGTTGTCATGTATACAAACTAAATAAAATGATTAATGGTTTGTGTTGTTAAGAATTAAATTGTATTTCGAAACTATAAATTCAGAGCTTTCTCACAGGCCCTGAATGCATCATAAACCGTTGACGGCCAACGAGGGGGGCGGGGTCCCGTGACGTCAGGGGTGGAAGAAAACAGCAGAGCAGGAATCAAAACAAGAGACGGACACGCCTTCGTTCTTTAAGGTTATAGCAGCTTATATTTTGTAACTGCTGCTGTCATAGCTGCATCAAAACCCTGCCTGTCATCCACGAGGACACCAAAAACAACAACAACAACAGCACAAAGACAAAGCACTGCAACAACAACAACAAAAAAGCACCACTGCAGAAATGGAGTCCACAGAAATGTCAGACGTTGACAGCAGCCGTTGATAGAGGTCGAAAATAACACTGACATCCGAATCCTGTACAATGCCCAACCAGAAGAACAACAACAAGGGAAAGAAAAGCAAACGCACTAACAGTAGCGGAGATGAGCAGGAAAATGGAGCCTGTGCGGCCGCAACAGGAGGCGCGGCCGCGGCGGCGGCGGCTGCTGCTACTGCACCCAGGCACGAGCGCTCAAGTGGTAAGAGAGGAAACGGACACAGATGTAGAAGTTTAGTGATGCTGCCTTCCTGCCAAGTGGGGAAGCTCTGCCCTGTCTGTGCGACTCTGACATGCATGCACCGCGACGTTGCAAATGGCTCCACTCCTTTTCCAATCCGGAGAGAACACTGTGCCAAACTTCGGTTGAAAAATGTCTAAGTTTAATGGTTACTTGATTGTCTGCACGTATAGGCTATAATGGTCGATCACGACGTTAGGCCTTGTATGCATTGAGTGGATCTTGTTTGTCCGTTGTGTGTATGTGAACCAGCAAGTAGTTCGTATTCTACTCTACTGCATTGGAATCTCGGTTTGTGTGACTGAGTTACACTGATGGTTTGTTTTTGGCGCAAAACAACAAGAGCAGGGAAATAAGTTGAAATGTGACTGAAACAGGAGTCTTTAGTCTTGTTTTTACGAGTTTGAATAGCACCCGAAATGCAAGACATCTTAAATTGTCAGATGTCTGAATTGAATTTGGCGCCTCGAGCTCTCCCGGGAAATAAACAATTGCCACCTATGAAATGAGTACTCCTTGGTGATAAATATAGACTCAGTGAGTCTTAATGACACTACATCCACGTTAGTAAAGGCTGTTGCAGTTGGTGTTGGTGTTCTTCCTGAAGTGCACCTTGTCCACACAGTTTTCGGTTGTGGCCTTCCTCGAGGGTAATACTGACTTAAAACAGCTATAAAGACAAACTGACCGTGCGCTGCTTGTCTCCTCCAACTTTTCATTCAGATTTGGTTTAAAACAGACCTCAGAACATAAGCTGGTTCTTGCACTTTAGATATTAGTGGTCTTCTGAGTCACTTTATGATATTATTATTATTATTACACTTTCAATGTAGAATTGTTGCTGTAGAAAAACGTAAATGCACCACAGTTGTATGTGTATTTGTTTTTCAGAGGAGTTAATTAGTTGTATAATTCTGAATTGTCTTTGGACAAAATAAGCAATTTTAATATCACACCTTGCATTTTTGTACTATTTAACAAGAACATAATGATCAGATAAGTCTTACCTGCAGCCCAAACATATTCTATTAAATATATAATTAGGACAGTAAAGGAAGTAAAGTTTTGAAAACATCTTTAAGGAGCTATGTGTGTGTTTTTTTTTGTGTCCAAGCGTTGTTGATGTGCAACTTATGATGGAGAGACTGCTTGAATGGTTCCGTCATCTCGCAACGAAACAAAAACACGCTTGAAAAACATTTAATGCTTCTTTGATGTAAGAATTTCTTTGTCTTATTTTATTGGACATTGATTATCTTTGGGTTTTGGATATTTGAAGAAGTCACCAGAGACATAAAAAAAAATCTATTTTCTGATGTTTACTAGACTAGAATAAATCCAGATTTTGTGGGAAATTGTGATGAGAACACAACTAACTAATCCTCTTCCTGTCTTTACTCATCCAGAGGGCCAGTGTGCGACCCCTCTCGGCTGCAGCTTTGCCCGTCCCATCGACCTGGAGAAGGACGACTACCAGCGGGTGGTCTGCAACAACGAGATCTGCCCTTACGGCAACTGGATGCACCTGCAGTGTTTCTACGAGTGGGAGAGCTCCATCCTCGTCCAGTTCAACTGCATCGGCCGCGCGCGGTCCTGGAACGAGAAGCAGTGCAGGCAGAACATGTGGACCAAGAAGGGCTACGACCTGGCGTTCAGGTTCTGCTCTTGCCGCTGCGGCCAGGGCCACCTGAAGAAAGACACCGACTGGTATCAGGTGAAACGTATGCCCGACGAGCGCAAGAAGAAGCCAACTGAGAGGAGCAGGAACGGGTCCAGTGGAGGGGCCGCAGGGCCCGGGGACGGGCTTTTTGATGAGCCCAAGAGAAGCAAGCCGCCAGGAGCAGCAGGTATAGGAGGAGGTAAACTACTCCACAGAGCTTCTAGTCAGGACTTACCTCGGAGACAATCAATGGACCGTCAGAACTCTTCAGAGAGAGGAGCAGTAGGAGGGCTCCCGACAGGGGGACCCTTTTCTCTGGGGCCTCCTCAGAAGTCACCATGTGACTCCCCGGGACAGTCTCCCCCAACTGGTTTCCCTTTCTCCCCCACTGCTGTCCTAGGAGCAGCAGCTGGAGGGGCAGGATTGCGAGGTTCCCGTCAGCTGGGAGAATTCTTCAAATCAGCCGTCCACATGGACCCGCAGAGGAAACACCTGCTGGTCGCGGGAGCTCTCAGCCGGGGAGGCGGCTGCTCGATGGGAGCCTCCGGCGGAGGATCCCACCTCGACCCCGGGTCTGTAATTCCCCTGCCGCTGTCCTTTGCCCTCCCGCTCCACCACCGGCTCTCCTCCGGCAGTGTGGGTGACGGCACGCACTCTCACCCAGTGCAGTTCCTGAGGAGGCTGGACCTCTCGGAGCTCCTCACCCACATCCCTCGACATAAACTCAACACCTACCACGTCCGCATGGAGGACGACGCCCAGGCAGGCCAGGGAGAAGAGCTGCGCAGGTACGCCGATAAAACATGTTTCCCTTCTGCCTTAAAATGTGAGTTAACTGAGCTTATGTTGAGTGGTTAGTTCAACGTTGTCTCATGAGTTTTGAAGATATGTAACTGGCTGAGTTAGGTTCACTGGATATGAAAAAACAAGTTTGACCAATTTAAGATATTAAGTTGAGCCAACAAGTGTTTCGTCAAACTGAAATTAGTTACATTCAGACATTACATTACATTTCTCAGTTTCTAAGTCAGTTATGATGGACAAGATCTACTGTTATGGCTGCTTCTGGACTTACTGCACTTTCAAAAGCTAAAAGAATGAGAAAGTGTAAGTAGGGAAAAATCTGAAATTGATACTGACCTTCATCACAGTTCAAATTGTTTTCATTATTATGAAAAGAAACAACCGTGACTTAACTCAATATGTAATAAAGACACACAGCAGGTTCCCCTCGTATATCTTTTCTTCAAACTACACAACAATGGACTCTCTGGAGAGTTTTCTAACACTCAAGCAGTGCATGCTGGGAGGTCTGCTAAAATGCTGATCACAATTCTCCACAACACAAGGTGTCATATTTAAATGGCCTGTTTTGTCCAACCAACAGTCCAAAACAACTCATGATCATCTGTTTAAATCTAATTAACCTAAAAAGTAAAAGACGAAGGATGTTTTACACTGTATAATAAGACATGGTTTGTAACGTTGCATTTGTTAAGTGGTCTAACTGTAGCTTATAGTTTGTGTGTTATTATAAACCAGTTTTGCTCAGTCAAATTAATTGTTAAATATCTGATAAACATACCTCGTAACATGCATTTTAATAATAGTGATTCAGTATATTACCTTATTGCAGGAAATGAATCTCAATCGTTGTTCAGATATTGTTTTAATACCATACCATGACACCGAGTAAAGTAGATAAAACAGCCAGAGTGCATTGCAAATTATAAATGATTAAATGCAGCTGTCTGATCGACTTATTAAAGAGATCTGTGAAGACACCATGATAATTGCTTCTTTAATTGTTACTGCTTGAAACACAAATATTCATTAAAGAATACTTCATTTTATTCTGCTGTCTGTTGGGCTGTTACAGAATCTTAATCGCCTCTTATCGCGTTAGACGTGCCCACGTTATTACTCTAACCTTAACAATATCACTAGTTTCAGCCTGAAACGTTGGCACGCAAACAAAAGCTCTCACGGGATTGATTCTTTGTTTATAAAGACAACTCTGATAAAACCAGAAGGAATGTCACGTGAACCTGCCAGTGTGGAGGACCTAATGTTTCTGTCCATGTTGTCCTGTAGGTTTATCCTCTCAGCCCTCAGTGCGAGCCAGAGAAACGTGGTCAACTGTGCGCTGTGCCACAGAGCGCTGCCTGTGTTTGAACAGTTTCCTTTGGTGGACGGGACTCTGTTTCTCAGCCCTTCACGCCACGACGAGATTGAGTATGACGTCCCCTGCCACCTTCAAGGTAAGACCTGGTTTGCAAGAGCATGGCGTGAGATACAAATACTTCCAGCTACGGATCATGAAAAATAGCTTTTTTTCAGATTTGCTCAAACTGTCACTGTATCCTGACGTTCATGGTGCCCAGAGGATGAATCCTACCGACTCTAGTGATCCTCTGACTTTTCCTCTTGCGCAACCATGAGGTTGACGTTAGTGTTTTTTTAGTTAAATTTCTCAAATGCTATTTGTGTGGATTGCCTGAAAATTAGGTGCAGACATTTTTGGTTCCCAGAAGATGAAACTTTGATGATCCTTTAACCTTTTATCCAGCACCATCAACATTTAAATGTCTCCTATATGTTTCCATCAGCCTCATCTCTACCTTGTGTTCAGAACTAATCAGCAAATATAACATGCTAAACTAAGAAGATGAACACGGTAAATATTAGCGTGTTAGCATTGCCGTTGTGAGCATGTTATTACGCTGACGTAAGCATATAGCCTGTATAATCTCACAGAAAACTAAAATTACTATCTGTGAATTATATAAAACATGTTAAAACTATTTACGCTATGTTCAGTTTCTATTGTAGGTACAGTGTTTAATCTGAAAACGAACAGAAACGCATTGATCAAGTGTTGTTATTAAGCTCTGGATTGGCTGAACATCAGCTTTCAGGATTGTTCTAATATGACAAAAACCAAACATTTAATGTCTACATGAATTGCAACCATTATTATGTTATGTTTGCTCAATTATAAATTCACATTCTATTTAAAATGTCAAGCTTTCTTTTCTACAAATAGAAATTACAACTGGCTAATCCATCAATAAGCTCAGTCCATGCTGTGAATATAGACACAGAAGGTTTTTTGCTGGCACAGTCCGACATGAATGGGAATAAACAGGGCGAAGCTCCTTTGATGTTTTGGCCCACAAGATTTGATATGTACGGTGCTTGATATGCATCAGCATGAAAGGATTATTTATTCAGATTTTCATGCTTTTGTGTCAGGCAGAATATAAATGTTGGCCAAAGAGAAATGAATCATGCTGTACAGTTAAACAGTGAGGTGTTTGTTTATTTAACGGTAGCTAACAGCTGAAGAGCTTGATTTTGTCCTGAGAAAATGTAAATGCATGTGTGTTTGTTTTATTAGCGAGCAAGTTTGCAGGGACATATTTTTACAACACATCTTCATCAAAAACGTCATGACTCTCTATGTGAGTGGCTCTGAATACATTCATGTTCATAATGGGATTTGAATGGTAAGCTGCATTGTATTTGCTCCATATAGCTTCAGTTTGACGAGGTTTCAAAGCTCTTGTTGGGTAGCATAGATTTAAAAATAACACGCTAAATAAAAGGACTTGCAACTATTTTCCAAGAATGGCTTGTTTGGCATCCACACAGAATTTGTGCAGAGCTGGGAAGGTTTCATTTTGGTACTTGCCAGGCTGATCTTTTAGGATGTGATCACTCCGGTAGCTTAGTTTCTGGTCTGTATACACCATGAAAGGACATAGAAACTGTTATTTATCCTGCATGCACTGCAGAAGCATGATAATGAGCCATGGGCGCAATCAGGAGTTCATTTTTTCCTGGCTGATTATCTGAGTGTCTTGTTATTCTGTAAACGTAATACTTAACTATGCTTCTTTATTTCTAACAGGCAGGTTAATGCACCTCTACGCCATCTGTGTGGACTGTCTAGAAGGCGTCCACAAGATTGTCTGCATCAAGTGCAAGTCACGCTGGGACGGGAGCTGGCACCAACTGGGCACAATGTACACCTACGATATACTGGCTGCTTCCCCGTGTTGCCAGGTAGAAACTGATTTTTCTGACTACTATCACGCGTGTCCTCGAGGTAAATGGGCAGAGAAACAGTGGTACTCTCCAATGCTGCCGTCATCCGGTTGCTCACTGGAATTAAAGTTGTATTAATCCGTGTTTTTAGCTGCGACTCAGTTGCCGATCAGTCGGTCCACAAACATTTCCCAACCCTTTGGCGGCCACAGTTTTTGCCCTCGGAGGCTGAAATTTTATATGGAGGTCGAGTGTTCTAACCTCCTATTGTGAATTTGAACCTGTATAACAACAATGGATTCAATTACTATGTGAATTGTGAGGCGTCAGTCGTAGTGGCTGAACCATGAGAATTATCATCCAACTCAGTCCCCCTCAGATTTATGGAACATTTTAGTGTCTTTCGGCTCATTGCTTTTGGTCATCACCCCACAGCAGGCAGCCATTTTCAGCAAAAAGCTGTCCACTACCTGTCCAGCACCAAACAGCAGACAAACTCAGTTTACGACTAACTGGTGAACATAGTGGAGCATTGAGAGACCAACAAAAGAGCCAGAAGAGAGCAACTATTGGACCAGAAACGACTTCATAATGTTATTGTTGCTCTTTTGCTAAAAAGCCGTATGCCATATGAACTTAATGTTATGAATGCTAAAATAGTTGAGGAGGTGCTCAAATGTTACTATCCAGTACACGAGATACCAATTTAGCTTTGTACTAAAGAATCGTAAAAGCTCTTGAAACATAGATCCAACTGAAACAGAAGAGAGTCGGATACAATTCTGTCTTGCTTTTAGTTTAGTTAGTTTTAGTAAGTGGAGCCTTGGGTTGAGATTTTTTCGACACGTCCTGAGCTTCCTGGTCAAATCTTGTACAGCATTAATTCAACGTCCTCCCTGTGTGTCCTCAGGCTCGTCTCAACTGTAAGCACTGCGGGAAGCCGGTGGTGGACGTTCGAGTCGGGATGCAGTATTTCTCCGAGTACAGCAACGTCCAGCAGTGCCCTCACTGCGGCAACCTGGACTATCACTTTGTGAAACCTTTCTCCTCCTACAAAGTACTCGAGGCTTATTGACAAATGCTGTCCATGCAGGCTAGTTGAGCTGCTTTTGTTCTCAATTTTTTTAAACACAGTCTAGGAAAGATTTTATTTTTGGGGCCTTAAGGTGATTTTATGTTTTTATGTTCACTCTCTTTTGTTGTTGTTTTATGTATAGGAAAAAGTATCACTCTAGTTTTAAAAAAAAAAAAAAAAAGAAAGAAAAAAAAAAGTTCCAAGACAGTATATCTGCAGTTACAGAAAGGTGTTGATAAAGTGTAGAACTGACACATCAGTCAAGCAAACACACTCATCTGTGAGAAATGAATGTATCAGTATGCCAAACTTTGCTTTTATTTAACTTTTTTCTTTTCTTTTTTTTACCAAAAACATAAAGATGAATCTCAAATAAAGAAGAGAAAGATAAGCGTTTGTGTCGGTTTGGTATCTTCATCCCATATTTTAAAAAACAATTTCACTTCAACGGGGACGGTCTTCCAAATGCTTCAACTTTTATTAGCGGATCATCATCATCATCCTCCTTTAGCTCGTCTGAATTGTCACAAGTAGGTGAACAAAAATCAATGGATTCCACTTATCCTGTGGTGTCAACCTGTTCATCGGTGTATGTTTGTGGGTAAAAAGCTAAAACATGTACTCATCACATTTTGGGTACAAAAGTCTGTTCTCAATGTCACATGTGAAGACTCAAGCCCCATCTAATAACAAACATCTGGTACATTCAGGTTACATTTACAGACAGGATGAGTTAAAGGGCCAGTGTGTAGCATTTAGGGGGCTCTATTGGCAGAAATGAGAATATAATAAGTATGTTTCCTTTAGTGTATAATAACCTGAAATACAGAATCGTTACCTTAGAATGAACCGGCTGCCGTGTTTCTACAGTAGCCCAGAACGGACAAACCAAACACTGGCTCTAGACAGGGCTTCCTACACGCTCGGCACATGGGACGAGTTTCAGTTGGTTGCAATCTGCAACCTCACTGCTAGATGCCGCCAAATCCTACACGCTGCACCTTCAAAAGGAAAAAGCTGAATGATTTGAGAAACCTACTGCTTCATCTTTTAGTGGAGAGGACCAACCCAGGAGTATGTTTTTAAGAATGAAACCCGCACTTATCAAATAAAGTTCAGTGTTTAGGTCACTATAGCCTGTAATGCAGTATTCAAACATGGGGTGCTATACATTAAAAACTTCACTCTGCTGTTGCACAACATGTTGGTACCATCGTAGCTCTGCCACCTGTGACACTTTCAGAGGGCCGATGGTTATTCCATTTCGCTGGATGCGTCATTATTACATACCAGGCTTTATTAAATTCTTAACACGATACACAATGAAATGAAGGAATTGGATTAGTTTTTATGAGAATGTTTTATTTCCATGTATAGACCCCTCTGTTGTGTCTGTGTTGCTAACAGGAGGGACGGGTGTTTCGCTCTCAGGGGCTCTTGAAGTCGAGTCGTCAGACTGCGAAGCTGCGTCCTTATTCTTCTGCGACAGTTCCTTTGCTGAAGGTGGCCGGAGGATGCACATGGCTGCTTGACCGTCACGTACGGCTTTCGGCTTGGAAACGAATCCGACCATCACCTCCATTTGCTGCACTATCTGCTCCAGAGTTGTGTCCTGTGGAAAATAAAACAATGGGGTTTTTTGGGGAATAGATTTTTAACACAAACAAGTATTTTTAATCCCTTTGACTTGTTTTTTTAAGAATAGTGAAAAATAAACTTCTCAGTAATGTCTGGTGGACATTCACTGTGAACACATTTCCGTACTGTCATTTTTTGGCAGACATGCACGCAGATAACAGTTAAATCTGTGACTATTTCTGCCATGCAGATGTTTCATTTGGGAATGCACATCTCTAACGCACACAGCTGCGCTATTCTGAACCTGTCTCAGTTGCAGAGGACGGAGTAGACAACAGAAAGCGTTTCCCCTCACCAGGTCGACTGCCGATCCCCCGCGTCCTGATCGCAGAGTGAGTCTGACATGGTTCTTCTTCTCCAGCCAATTCTCCACTTGTTTCATCTTGGTGGACAGGTCGTGCGCTGCGATGCCGGATGAAAAGGTGAGCTCTTTCACCTGCACGGGGGCTGTGGAGAAGAGAACACGTGTGTTTCATCACGTTTGACTTTCGTACTGTGTGAACAACATCTTTTACTTCCTGTAGAGATCTGTTGAATACTGTGGGTACCTGCCGGGACACCACATACCTGCTTTTGCTTTCTGTTTCTCCCGCAGTTTCAGCTGCTCTTCGTGGATCTGTTTGCCACTCATCAGCCGGTAGACGGGGGGATCTTTGCGTTCGTTGAGCAGCACCAATTTGAGACCCTGCTCGTCCAGGATTCGGATCACATCTGAACGGTGCATGGTGCCCAGGTTCTCGCCCGTCTCACTTATCACCTGTATCTCACGGTGTGGGATCTTACGGCCGACGGCGCCGATTGTGGCATGAGCTTTGGGATCATGCTTGTTTTTCTTCTTCGGTGTGGGAGTCTGTTCTGTGTCGTCTGCAGCCGTGGAGAATGGAGACCATCTCCAGGAGGAAGCAACGAGGTCAGATCTTTCACCGGGTGGCGCGAATCTCGACGTTGGCGTCCAGTAGCCTCGGCTGCTACCACACACAGCTCTCACTGTACGGCTCAGCATCCACCTCACACAACCTGCAGACATATCCTAGATACAAAAAAAAAAAAAAGAAAGAAAGAGAGGGAATTATGTGAAACAGCATACATCACGAAAAGGCCATGACTGGGGGGGAAAGCATCTCTTTTACCACAATGTTAAGAGTTAAGCTTTTCCTGAAAATGACTGGCGGACATGACAGATTAATGTAGATTACAAGTACATATTTACATAGCTCATATTTTGCTAAATGCTTACTACGTGGGTTTTCAATGTATCAGGATTATGAAACAATGTGTTTGACACATATACTACCATTATTCGCTTGCTATCTCAGGGCTTTCTCTTGCCTCTGAAGGTATTTTAAGTAATGTCTTGTAGGTACATTTCACTTGAATTAAAAAATCTAATTTAGTCATTTATTTCCTAAAGTACTCTACGGGTTAGTTAGCTCTGATATCACAAACATATCTAATGGGTGTTGAGTTCAATTTCGTCTCTGCATCTCGTTTGTATCAACAGCCAGTTCATACAGTTGTGACATCATTTCCTGTTGCACCCCGCCAGGCCCGCCCCCATTTACACATCGGCCAATTACAGTTTGCCCTTCTTAAATGTCACTGCACACACCCCCCAAATAAGATGTGTATACAAACCCTCAGGGTCCGCTGTGATATTCGTGATACACCACATTTACTTATTTTTACTTTAGGAAGTTTAACACTTATTTTCCCTTCTCTTTATATCGTTCACCTGGCATTCTGACAAGCGTGCGCGTGCAGGTAAAACACTCTGGCCGCAGTGACCACTGCAAACTAATTGTAAAAAGCTAACATTTAATTCAAAAGTTCATCAGCAAACGTCATGCCGAACTGGCCAGCAAGCCTTTTCAATTCATAAAAACGCCTTGCAGTAAATGCCTTGTGGTGCACTTGGTGTGGAATTAACATGTCAACATTAAACTACGGTTTAAAAAGGGAGTCTGGAGTTGACCGAGAGAGCCGTTTACAGTCATCTTTGCAGCGTTTAGCTTGGGCCTAAAAGTCGGTGTAATTGCCCCTCAAACAGTTGTAAAGTATTACCCTTTTCTCCAATTATCTCCTGTTGTTGTGCTGTTTACTCACTGTAGATCAATGTCGTGTATTCATATTGCAGGGTGACTGTTGCAGTCTTCTTCCGCCATGTGCTTCTTCGTGTCATTTGAGCGAGAACAGATGCAGCCAAACCCCGATGCTGCCCTCTTCTGCACAGAGCGGGACACGTCGTTACTCCATTAAAAGGGTCAGTTCACCCAAAATACAAAAGGGCATACCATACATTCTTATTTGAGCTTAGTCATATACCATCCAGGTGGTTCTAGTTGTATTTTGCCCAGGTTTTGAAATGTCTGTCTATTCATCCTGATGCAATGGAGGTGAAAAGAATGTAACTAATTGTTTGATTAGTAGGCTACATGGAGCTACCACAGTAGGTAACACATGAGCGGTTTCAATTCTCCATCAATTTTACACAGTTGATTTCTTGCCTATAAAATTCTCAAAAATGAATTAAAAATAAAACTTGTTTTTTCCTTACAAACCCTTTCATTGTTATTTCATTTTTGTTGATCATTTGGCACAGTTTTTTCATGTTGAACATCTTGTTTCAGAGCCATGAAATCATTTGGATGTATTTGATTACTTAGGCTAATTACTTTTTAATTGAATTACTTTTTGTGACCCAATTAGTACTTTAATGTTTAGTTAATTCGTTTAATAACTTTAAGAACAATAAACAAAGAGCTCCTTTTTATGGATTGAAGATTTTTTTGAAAATCAATTTCAAAATGCAATTAAAACTGAAATATTCTCCATTGATTATACTTTGCCCTGGAATATTTACCATTTACTTTTCATAAAAAAAAAACATTATGAAAGAGAAGTAGGCTATATGAGCAGACTCAATTCTTGAGGATGTTTTTAAAAGGACATGGTAAAGAGTTAATTGGTAGGCCTACAATAACGATGTTCATACAAGCTACTGTGCGTCACAGCCACCATTCATTCCTTGAATTTGGTTACATTGTAACTGGACATTCATCCAAGCAAAATTATGTTTTGGTTATTTTGCAAAGGAGAGAGGCACACGGACATTTCTTGGAACTGTGTATTTGCAAAACAAAATGCTTTCAGCGGGCAGCTATGCAAAGTCAGTTAGACAACATATTCATGAGTCCAAAAGGTTCAGTGTTTCTGTCTTCAGTGCTGCTCTTCAGTGCTTTGACGGTATTCAACCACAGAAAGGTAAGAAGTAAAATACTTTTGGCTGATAATCTGTATTGAAAAAGAACTTTGGAATTATACTTGTTATTCATCTTCTGTAGCCGGGAATCGATCGCACGTCCTGACAGAGTTAACACCATCAAAACAACATGAGCTGGATGACTTGGGTTTTGTTCGTGGGGCTTCTGTGGATTTATCCTGTTTGTACGTAATCAAAATCTCCAAATGATAACGCCTAGTGGCCTCTACATATCATATTGCATTATTCTCATAAGGGACGATTGTTATGGTTATAAGGTGACAACATCTTGTGTGAATATTTTTTTGTTTAACTTGTTGTCTCATTGGATATAACAGGTGGAAACAGGAATAACAAGAGTAAAACAATCTGGCAGAAACTCAAATATTGTTTGAACAACAACCCGACACTACCTTATTTTGTGGTTCCTGATCAGTTCAGTGCCTTCATCACTGCAGATGAACATTGGAATCTGAGTGAGTTGAAACTATAACAAACATTTTAATTACAGTAGCTGTTGATTGATGTTTGGGGAACAAAACGAAGTCTGGGAGGAAAGGTGCACCTTTACAGCTGGTAGCTGTATTTATCTTTTTAAAACGATAAAATACAGTGACATATCTTAAGCATCTAATGTAGGGTCCATCTGCCGGGTGAAAACAACACATGTAGATCGATGACTTAGCTGTTGTTAAAGTACATACACATTAGACTGAGCCTTTTTGCTCTTACTTTGTTACTCTTACTACGTGACATAACAAGACTGCATTCTGTACCTCTCTGCAGCTAAGGCTTGCATACTATTTGTGCAGAGAAACGTGACTAGAGCAGGTTAGTACAACCAACTTATTACACTAAGAATATTGAATTTATTTTTGCATTTACATAAGCATTTCAACTAAATAAAGATCTAACTGTGTTTCTGTTTTTAATTAACAGGAATGTTTGAGAAGAAATATCTTCAAGTGGAAGGAAATTACGGTTCTTATGTACTACGCCTCACAAGGTTGTACATCAGAAAGAAATTGCACCTGTATGTCGTGGACGGGAGGAAGTGCAACACCACATTATCTGGCTTCACAGGTGATATTACATAACTGTTTTTTACATTCTCCGATGTCAGTATTAAATGTTGTGAGCAACATTAAATGACATTCTATTCACCTTTACTGTATTTATTATTCAGTGCACAGGGCAGATGAGAAGAGAGGAAAGTTGGACATACGTCTGTTTGCTTGTGTGTGTGTGTGTGTGTGTGTGTGTGTGTGTGTGTGTGTGTGTGTGCTTGGCCCCTTAAAACTGTAAAACAACGGTTCTAATTTGCTGATTTGCTTTTGTCAATATAAATTTCTCTTATTATTCAGATTCAACGGCCATCATTGACACTCTCACAGGTAAACAACTTTGTTTTACAATTAAAACTGTAAAACAACGGTTCTAATTTGCTGATTTGCTTTTGTCAATATAAATTTCTCTTATTATTCAGATTCAACGCCCATCATTTATGACATTGTCACAGCTAAACAACTTTGTTTTACAATTCTGTCTGGAAAAAATAATAATAAAAACAGTCTCTATAAAGGTATTATTACGTTTACGCTCAATGTAAAAATTGGAATGATGACACAAGTCTCTTTTAATTAAGTCTTTAATTCAATTTAGAAGTTCTTTTTTTTTACCATCCCTCATAGTGTTAGCTACAAATTTAATAAAATTAAAAATAGTAATTTCAAAGAGATTGTTAAATATTTTTATCAGTGCACTTTCTGTAGTGTTGTCCCACTTTTTTCTTTACTGTGTATGTGAAGATTCTGACAGTGTTTCTCTTTGTAGAACCTTGCTGGATTAGAGGTTTGGATACAAAGATAGTATGTAAAGAAGCTAGTTATGATGTAAACAACTGCAAAGCAGGTGAGTTCCTCTCAGAGAAGCAATGATTGCGTAACTATTTATTAATTTCTTGCCTTTTGTGCTCTATAATGCACATCATGCTTGTAATGCTGCGGACACTGGCTATAAATGGCACCAACTGTGTATCTTACTTTACAGATTCAGGTTCACTGGTCAAAGACAAGTTCATCATCAACATAACAACAACAACAAACAACAAATGTGTAAGGTGTGATAATCCAGAGAAATTGCCGGAGGATAAAGTTAAGGTGGCTGGGAATTATACACCTGAAGAAGGAGAACACTTCGACGCTGCCGAAGCTGCGTAAGACATTTTGGGAAACATGCTTTAATTTGCTTTCTTGCCGAGAGTGAGATGAGAAGATTATTACAACTGTACAGCCAGAACACAGGTTGTTGAGATTTGAAACAGCTAGACTGGTTCTTTTCAAAGCAGACGGACTTTTCACACTACGGAGCACTACTGAAAATTTCAGGAGCATCAGCGGAAACAATTTAGGAGCACGACTAAATCGACATGCAACGAAACACATTCATATTCACCTCGTCTGTATTGCTGATAATGCTTTAATAATAGATAGACAATTTACAGAAATAAACAATGTGCTGTTTTATTTAAAAGGAAAATTCCCAAAGTGAATTAGTGCTTTAAGAAAGGAATTCATTCAGCGACATTGTCCTTTTTTAATGCACCAAATAACGAATCGAACGGTGGAGTCTTATGGGCCACTGCTAACTCCAAAACCACTATTGCTGACTAATTAACATGTCGTATCGTGTTTGTTTGTTTGTTCGCAAATAGAAATGTGTCGACAAGACTCCGGGTAGTCACTGCTCCCGGAAATAGTTACAGCAGGAGGTTCCCTGTATTACCACAAAGCTTTACATTTCTCATTCTGTAGGACTTAAGCTGATACAATATCTTAATTATTGAACTTTAGAGTTGCGATTAGGTGGATGCTTTTTAAACTTTGGACAGTGCCCCCTGCCTCCAGTCTTTGAGCTAAGCTAAGCTAACCTCCTGTACAACTCCTAACTAACTATTCCTTATAACATTGAAATTCAAAGGGAGAAAACATTTTTGGGCTATTCATATATATTTACCACAATGTAATGTAATATATGTAAAAATTTATATGTATATGAAAGAATTGTCAATATATTGAATATTCTTCCTTCTGTCAACAGCAGAGTCATGAACAAAATGGCCGACCTTGCCAGCTCCATCAACGTGTCTTGGGCTGCACTGACTGTGGCAGAAGGAGTTACGGGTATCTTAGTGAGAAAAACAGACCCTGTGGATGTAGCCGAGGTCGTCTTTGGTTATTGGGGCTCAAATGACAGCATAAGGGTGGGTGTATTATTTTGAATTTGACCTTCATATGCATGTTATGTGGTAAAATTCTTAGTACAGACTTCAATAACTGTATGGATTGGGTAACCAGTTCTCACTGGTTACCCTTACACCAGGTTTTCAACTAACTCCAATGTAAAGCAATCAGTGTCAGTGTGAAGCCTCGGTTATGCGTTCTGCATGGACGGTCGTACGGACATGAGATGATGCAGAACCGTGATGAGGAAACTGATCTCTTGTACACTGGGCGGGTTTCTCCTCGCGGCAGCCGACATTCTCAAAGCTCCTCAAAGTTGTCCATTTTCTCCACCTATCCACATCCGCGTAGTACGGAAAATGTTGGATGGTCACGGACAGGCAAAATAAAACCTGCCGCATGGAACCCCTGTGAAGGTCTTATGGCGTAAATCAGGCATTAGACTGTCAACTGACTTGGTATAAAGAGTGAGGAAGATGACGAAGGGCAGGTCGGATGGCAGGATGGAAATACAAAGAACTTTCACCCAGGAGACCGCTGCTTGTGTCCTGTGTGGAACCAAGTCAACGTTGACTTATTCCATTGTCCGGGTGAATACTTGATTCTGATTGGCCGCAGGGTGTCCATTAATTCTTGATAATGGAGACATACCAAGTAGTTCCAGTTAAAGTGTCTGTTCATCGTTCGAAATTACTGCGTTGGCTACATTAAATTTAAAAAAAAAATCATCTGAATTTCTTATTGAGCACACTGAGCCTCATCCTCTGAACAACACAGGGTGGCGACAGTAATACACAAGCTGCAAGAAGTAAGTTACACTGCCCTCTCAACTTATTGATACTTTGTATTACATAAGAAGTAGACGGCCCCTTCGTGGAGGCCAGAATTGTAAGACACACCGCGTTAATTCCTAATAATGGACACTTCCTCAGGCAATACTTAGCATTACTTATTTACCACTTCAGAGTCATGAAATAAGTAGTCCGTCTAAACTTTGAGGATATGCCATCCTGTCTCTCATTTAGAAATAACTTACTTTTGTTCAACATTTTTCTCTTTCTGAGATTGAGGTGAAAGGATCAAAATGAAGGTAGCAGAGCAGGCAGACTGCTGAGTCATTTCCTAGATACTAAGTCATTTCCTGGATTATAATTGGATTGACTTCAAACAAACAGTTTTATTTTTCTTAAATGTTTAAAACAGCACTGTACATGATTTTGACAACACACTTGTGTTCTTCCCTGCAGATTGTAGACGGCAGTGATAATCTGGCTCAATACTCAAGATCTGTCTCAGTGCCAAAAGAAGCGTTTGAGAAATCCCTGAGTTTGAATGTTAGCGTGCAATTTGTAGTCCTTTTACGATTCACCAATCTGGCTTTGGTAAGAAACAATATCAAAATGTCGCCTTCAATGGTAAAGGAAATATAATCATGTGACTATTTTGCAGTTGTTTCATTTTTTTTCAGGATATGAACAACAGCACTATTTTAGGTGATGAGGTTTTAGCAGTTGAAATGGGAGCCACGATCATCAATCTCACAGACAAAATATGCATCAATTTCAAGAACATTAAAGACGTAAGTTAAAAAAATATATATATTGTGCATTATCGAATGTGTATTATTTTTATTTGTTTGAGTTTGTTTACCATCCAAGAGCATGTTTTAATGCAGTTCTGTTGTTTTTACAGGAAAGAATTCCATCTTGTCGTTCATGGAATGGTGATGGTAATTGCAAGATTTTCTTTAGGTCTACATTACCCACGAAAAAGAATAGAGCTTTTCCCACAGCACACATTTTGACACATCAAGTGTAATCAACAACATTAACAATGTTTTTTAGGAACAAAATCCCAGTATGTGACTGCTGCCATAATGTAGATTAGAAAAGGACATGAAATAACAGAGACTACAATAGTGAGCTGATGTAATAGGCGATGTAATTCTATTCCACTGGGACACTTCAATAGAACGGATACAGTGTCAAATTGATTGAGTGTCTCACACATTTTGATTTTGGTTGACCTTAATTTACATCTGGGTTTACTATTCCCGTATTTTCCATGTTTGAAATCTACTATTGGCATGGAGCGTTGATTCTTACTTGTTGTTTCTCACTCACTCAATGTACTCAATGTACCCTCCAGCTTCAGCTCTGCGTTGTCTGCATGCTCTGATCCTGTCTTTTAGGAAGCCGACCAAACTGGACTGATGGCGGATGTCGGACGATAAAAAACGGGACCAGCATTACATGCGAGTGTTCGCATTTGACCTTTTTTGCTGTCTTATTGGTACGTCTTACGTCTTTTGTAATATTCTCATGGCATTCTAAGCTTCGTCCTTTCAATCGGTATTCCCAGTGGAATACACATATATGGGCATTCCTCTGTATGACCGTCTGTAGCTACCGATTTTTTTCATCCTCTGTAATGAAATTCATCATAAACCATCCTCATTAATGCCAGTCCATGTGATAAAGTGTTTAATTGTTGCTCTTCGCAGGCTCCTCTTAATGAAACCATACCTAGTGCTGACCTGAAAAACCTCACCATCATCACCCAAGTTGGCTGTGGCTTGTCCATGTTCTTCCTCGGCGTAGTCCTCTTCATGCACTTCCTTATGAGGTAATGATAACATGTCTCCATAATTAGTTTCAGATTAAATAGTTTCAGTATCAGGAAATTATGACCATGTAAAATAAAGTGTTGCCTTTATTTCAATATCGGGTTGCCACGGTCCGATTTCCACGAGCTAAATTCTGTTTTAAAGCCGTCTCAATGCAAATTACTAAATGATTACGTCATTTATTTTTGTTTAAATATGTCTAAAAATACTGGGCTTGGCCTGAGTAATAAGAACTACTTTAAAGCTTTTAACTGCAGAATGAAACCCATCTTTTGTCCAGGTTTGTTGAGCCATGGCTGAATACTCCAATCTCATTATGTAGCCATACACCTCTTTTTAAATATAAAATTAAATAAAGTGTCATTATCATTAATGTCAGCCTTTTAGAAACAAAAGTCATAAAGATACTGGATTGATTTTAAAATAGTTGCGATTATTTAAAAAAAGGCATTAATCGGAAAAAGTCATCGGCTGACCAATTGATCAGTTTTTCTTTGGTCTTTAGTCTTTATACAAGTAAACAAACACATCTCTTGTCAATAGCTGTGTTGTCCCACAGCCAGCTGATTTAGTGATAATTCATGTAAATAAGCATGCTCTTCAGAACAGCAGAACACTATGTCATACATTTGCAATAGGGAAATGAGACCGCTGAATAGTAGCTTTGTTGTAGGAGTGCTATGGAAACAACCGTGTTATGTACCGAATGAATACTTCATGAAAATAATCTAACATCCCATCTGTCCCTTTCCTCACACATTAATATTTTCAAGCCACTATTTTTACAGAGGCGGAGGAAGAATTCCATTTCTATATTCATACCACGCTGTAAAAAAGATCTCCTACAAATGAAAATGCTGTATTGGAAAGGTAGTATTAGGAAATGTACTTCAAAGTATCAAAAGTTAAAGTTCTCAATGGAAAGAAATAGCCCATGTGAGGGTTTATGATATCTAATGACATACTATGACACAGAATATGATTACATTATTATTACTCATGCATTAATGTGTATAAGCAACGTTATACTCTTGTGAGGTGGAGCTAAGTTTTAACCATTTAATATAAGGCTGCAACTAATTATTATTTTCTTTATTGATTGATCTGCTGTTTGTTTTATTGATTAATCCATTCATCATTTGCTTTGTAAAGTGTATGAAAATAGTGAGAAATACTGTCACAATTACCCAGAACTCAAAGAAACTCTTTCAAATGTCTTGTTTTGTCCAGACAACAATCCAAACCTCAAAGTTATTACCAGGACTGAGCGTGGCTGGTTGTCAGACCCTGCTGCGGTAAAATAAGAAGTTTTCTTAAGGGACTCTGGTTCTCGGAAACACTACTGCTTTATAAACACAAAATAAAGTTCCTCATAGCATAGCATAGCATAGCCTCCTTCACCAGACGGGGTAATCATAAAAAAAACAATGATTTGTCTGTGAGCAATATGTGTCTCTCTTACAGGAAGACCAAGGCCAGTATATCAACAAAGATTCTCATCCACATGGTGTCGGCCATGTTCCTGCTTAACCTCACTTTCCTGCTCAACAACTTCGTGGCAAAAATGGACAGCTCAGTGGGTTGTAAGAGCTTGGCGGCTCTCATGCACTACTTTATGTTGGCCACTTTCAGTTGGTTTGCTGTGCAGGCCTTCCACCTCGGCCTGCAGCTGTACGTGGGGGGCAAAATTGTAATCCGTCACTACATACTCAAAGTCTCCGTTACCAGTTGGGGTGAGTACACATCAGGTATTTTCTGTTGTTTGATCTGAACATGGACATGAGATTTGCAAGTCAGTAGTTACTTGGTAAATCTTCTTTGTCCTTTTCCAGTCCTACCGAGTGTAGTTGTGATCGTCCTGCTCATCTTAGGAAAATATGGCAAACAATCCGTCTATACTAGTGACACTGAAGAGATTGTGGCCATGTGAGTGTGTGGAATATATATTTAATATACAGAATTCACACATTTGTTCATACGCATCCCTTCATTTACTGACATGTCTCTCTGTTCCAAGGTGCTGGATAACAGACAATGACGTGCAGTACATTGTCAACATAGGTTACTATGCGTTGGTCTTCCTCTTCACCTGCACTACCTTCAACATACTGTCCTGGCTCTTTTGTCTCAAGAGAATGGGAAGTGGAGTAATAAGCACAAACACAAAAAGCATCGCAATCATCCTGGGACTGTGTTGCATGATGGGTATCACTTGGGGTTTTGCCTTCTTCGCCTATGGTGTCCTCCGGATCCCCGCCTACTACATTTTCACAGTCTTGAATTCTTTCCAAGGTCCATGTGATAATAAGCTTTCAATGTATTAATCTGTTGCATTTCAAATAATCCAATTGAATCCTAATTTAAACTCACTGCTCATATAGCTTGGTTTTTATTACTTAACTCACAGGATTAAGTAATAAAATGTTTTACTTTGTGTCAGTGATTTTTACAATATTATTGTATTGTTATAAAAGTAAGCTGTAAAAGGATAGATGACTGAAAGTAAAACCCACCTGCATGAGCAAGGAGTGTAAAGTAGCAATAAACTAAAAATACGTTACATTTCAAAAGGCTCAACTTGTCCGTATGAGTGACCATCTTTCTTTGTCTGTGGCAGGTTTCTTCCTGTTCATCTACTACTATAACACCAGCCATTCAGAAGGGATAATTGATGGTCAGGAAGTCTCAGTGAGCACCGACACTCTTCAAACTAGCGTGCAAAGCTGCGAGAACCCCTACGCCAACTTCAATAAAGAACAGCCCCGGTAGACAAATGGACTAAAGGGTGAAGATGGACAGCTTGAAGTAAGAGACTACAAGCAAGTAGAATGAACTAGAAAGTTTACTGGTGTGTAACATTGTATAGGGCATCTTCCGACATTTATTGAAGGTTATTGGTGTATGGGAAAATTATTTTAATACTACATCGTTTATTTTCTTAGGACCAGAATTTGGTTTGTACAATTTCATTCAGTGGGGATCAGAAAAGGCTGTATGTTTTGTGGAGTTTATTAGTAATAGTATTTTTTTTTACAGATTTTTCTATAGAAAAACTGCCAAATATGAATATTAGTATTTTATTAAAATTACATTTTCAAGACTCTTTGATCTTCAACCAATAAAATATCTTTAGTTGTGGATATTACAGTAAAAATAATGTTTCCTAAAGCATGTTTTGACTGTTTGGAATATGAAAATGAGATCAGAAGCACGAGGATAAAGAATATTTTATTCAGTTTAAGTGACACTAACATTAAAACATACATTATGCACATTTTTTATTTTAAACTCATTTTTAGTTGGGAAATTATAACTTTTACAGCAAGAGGGCTTCTGCTTCCTTGAGAGCTTTTTCAATTTCAGCCACCTCCAGGGAGAAGTTCTCCCGTTCCTGCATACACTCCCGCGCTTCCGCGAGTTCTGACATCATTGTGGCGATTTCCTATAAGTGTGTAAAACGAGGATCATTTAAAATACACTGCGATCATCACTTAAAAGCAATTACAACAAACAGCAAAGTGTGAGTTTAACTCACCTCTAACCGGGCACGTTGCTGTGATGCAGTGTCTCCAAACGCTTTTAATTCAGCCAGCAGGTCTGTGGACACACTCTGAAATGGAGACAATGAAAGTTGTGTTCAATAGATGGCACTGCCTATGATAGCCAACAGACTGTTACCCTTTATGTGTAGGATACAACTATATTGTAAATGTACTTTTTTTTTTCACTTTAATTGTGTGGAATACAACTAGTGCATGTTTGTAGTCATTTGTGTGAGTGTGATTAAAACGTGACAGAACTTATAACATCAAGTAAACTGAAATAAAATATACATACCATAACCTCTTTTCTTTCATCTTCATTTTGTTGCGCAGCTGATCCAACCCTTTCTCCCAAAACTAAGAATCAAAAGAGATATTACGTTATTTTCTATCAAGCAACAACTGAAATCAAGCAAAGAAAAACATTTTGAAAAAAGGGGATACGTATTCACCTGGGTCTATATTGGCTGCGACTAGGAGCATGTGACAGTCCTTCAGGTTTTTCCGAACCTCTACATTCTCCTTTTCAAGTTCACTGAACTGCAGCTGCAACTCAGACACTCTTTGCTGCAAAGTGACAAGGAAAGAAATGCTGGTCAATTGCAGCAGACAACAGACACGTGAAATCTATAAATGCAAGTAGTTAGATATGTTACAATCATACAAGTACTTCATTAAAACTACTTCCTGCACCTGTGTCTCCGAGAGGTTTTTCTGCAGCTCCCCATTGGTAGCCATCAGATGCTGATTTTGCCCCTTAAGCTCTGCCTGTTGCCCATACCTGGTGGGCACCCTACAGACAGGTGCAATATAAAGTTGTGAGAAGAAGAAAAAAAAAAGGCTGATGCTCACTGCATGTTCATGATATGCAACATAATGCAAGACTCACCCTTTGAGTGCTTTGGGAGCAACAGTTTTCCTGCAAGACAAAAGCAAAAAAAAAAAATGAATTGAATAGCTGTGAAGCAACAATACATAGTAGTGTTGATTAGCACATGTCTTACTTTGGCACGTTTTCTTTTTGATGTTTGAGGATACCATCTGACTTTTGGGCAGCGTTTTCTGTTGCAGATACAGGTGCCCTGTCTTTGGATTCAAACTTATCACCAGCTTTCTTCATTTCTGCAGGTAAATGCACACCTGGAAAACATAAGATTGTTAATCAGACATTGGCTTTGCTTGTCTTGAAATACAATTTAAATATACATAAATAGAATCACCAACACAGTCCAAAAACACCAAATTCTGCTCACCTCTTGGAATTTTGGATGCCATTCGCTTCATCTGTTGTGCAATGAATACAACGCCAGCAATGAAAAAGGCACCTGTAAGAAGAAACCATCTGATTAAGTAACTTACAATTTAGTAATTCCTGGAAATGTTTACTGAACCAGCTGTTGAACTGACATATTCAAACACGTTCTGTTTCTGCGTAACGTTTACTCTAAAGCGTCGACAACGTAATCATATAATACTGGGACCTTTATATTCACTTTTACCAGTAAGATTAATACAAAAATACAGATTATGAATGGAGTTTGGTGCGAGTTTCCAAATTCAACATTCGCTAGACGACTTCAAAAAAGTAACATATCAAGGGTCTAGTTAGCTTAGTTTAGGTGCTAGTTAAACGTTCGCCATAACTGAAACATACCAATATGTGTGACAGGGTTCAGTAACGCAACGTCAACACCTACCTTTGTGGATGCATTAAGTACAAGACTTGTCAACAGTCAATTCCCCAAAAACGAGCCGCACGAATTTAAAAACGTCCCGCCCTCTGTGATCATATCCGGTTTGAGTCCGTTACTTCCTGTATGTCGAAAACTACCTTTCTCTATTTCTTGTCGTCAGAAGGTTTATATGTCTTGATTAATTCGAGGTAAGCGGCATGTGTATTATTCTGTTATTGTTGTTGAGTTAACAATACTGCACTTATCGAAATAAGCAGCGGAAGACTCGACAAAAACCCACTGAAATAGGTCACTGCGCATGCGTGGAGGCGGTTTAATTCAAAACTGAAGACGTTAGCATCAAGGCTCGTTGCCGTTAGCTGCAGCTCACAGCTTCGCACGTCGACCCAGCTAAAAATAAGCGACATGAAAGCTATTTCACGTTAGTTAAGAAGTAATAACACAACATTATCCGTTGTAAAACCGAGGAATTCTCTCACAACAACTACAAGGTATGCGCTATAATGTTTCTTTTGGGTTCAGTTATTGTTCTTGTTTTGTTAATGCCAGACCAACACGTACGTTAGCGTAGGTACAATGTATGCTCGCTACCGAGGTCAGTAATCATTAAGCAACTTATTTAACCTGAAACACTGCACCGGGTCTACCTTTTTATCCCACACAAAACTATATATCTGGTTGTTGATTTAACCCTTTAGCTAAAGATGAAGAAGGGTCAGATAAATGTGACATAATGTCATGTCTTACCAACTTAAATGTAACAATGTACTGCAGAATCTGTGATTTCCTCATCGAGCTCTGTTTTCATTTGTTCACAGTTGAAAATGGAGCCTCTGGATCCTGCCAAGAATGAGTGAGTAGAAACTATGTTGAGAGAAAGCAACAGACTACACATAAACCTAAAGGCCATCTTTGTAGCTGGCATTACCATTGATTTGTGATATGACTGTATTCACATTTTATATAAGAACAAACACCCACCATAGCTGAATACTGTGTTTCATGTGCTGTTACAGTGAAGGCAGTGGATTCTCCAAGCGACGCATTTCCTCGGTCAGTGCTACAAATCATTCATGGACAAAGTACATGTAGTTTACATTTAACGTTAAATCATAAGCCTGAATCATAACCTGTGCAACTTCTCATTTTTAGATTTTAAAAGCACCACGGAGATCAGTCAGGTTCCCTGAACCACAGCAGCAGGAAAATGTGGTAACTGAATTGCTAGATTTAAAAATGTTAAGTGTTTATATGTAAAAATGGGGATATTTCTCGTAATGAAAGATGACCTCCAATCGTAATATTTTTTTATATAGTATCAATTGTCAACCTAATAAGGATAAATTTGAGAGGTAAAAACTTTATGGCTTTATATTTTACTTTATATGTTTTTATTTTCACTCAGGTGGAGTGTGCCAAACCGGTGGAAAAGAGAACTTCAAGAAGAGTCAGTTTTGCTGCGGCCAACGACGTCCTTTTGTTCTCAAAGTGAGACACTACAAAAAAAAGTCAGGCTCAGATTTACCGCAAGGACGCTGACATTTCAACCTAATCTGTATTCTTTTCTTTACAGGGATGTAAAAAATGCCTCTCCTGCCCGAAGTCCTTTACAAGAGTTAATACCAACAAGTATGTAATGTTAGTATGTATAAGTATCTGAGTTCTTATTAGTTTTTTTGGGGCAGCCTTGTAATATTTGTCCTTTTTTTTTTTTTTTCCACAGCAGCGACAGCCACACAAAATAGGTACAGTGATCTTCTCAAGCTGCCCATATTAAGCTGCTGACCTGTTGAAAATGTTGGATTTTAATATACTAATCTTTGACTTGCAGTCATAATGTTGTGTAGTAGCAAAATTAATATTGTGTGTTTACTTTCATAAGGGTCCAGGTGGCGGTCACTGAAGATGGGATTCAACAAATAATGGGTAGGGATATTCATTACAGCTATTACCACATACTCACATTATTTGTTACAGCGTAAGATGACTCTTACTAAATTCAAATCTCTCAAATTCAGGAATGGAAACCCTGTTGAATGCTCCTCTGCATGCCTCTCAACAAAGGGACAAGGTGAGCTTGAAGTCACTTTTGCTGTTTTTGTCCGAGTTGTGTGTTCTTATAACTGTCGCAGCCACCAATGGTTAAATGTCTTTGTTGTGATCATATGTATTGTATTAATACAATGCTTCATTATAATGTTCATGAGAAGTTTTTATGTAGAACTTGATATTTAGTGACCATTCATTGACATAAAGCCACTTTTCTTCACCAGGCCGACGTTGATACTGGGCAGGACTTCGGGGAGAAGACAGTGATGTTTTCTACTGACGATGCATTCCTGGACATGACCCACAGTCACACAATAAACATTGCAAATGAAGCAGGATTGGTTGCAGACATTTCCCTCCAAAACTATGACTCCTTACCTGTCAGAGGAGAGAACAGAGTGAAGCTCACTGCCAGTGATGGAGCCATGGATATGAGCCTGAGTCACCATCTGAGCACTGGGTCAGTATCAGTGCCCACCAGCAGAAATATGGATTTAAGAGTAGAGAAGAGAAACAAATCGTCTCCAGCACCTACTTTGGATGCTGGATTTGAAAACTTCCTCGCAAGTCTCTCCAAACCGAGTGACCCCGGCGTTAATCCTGTGATCACCACGTTGGCGCCTGCTGCATCGTCTGAAAGAGCAAACTGCTCCACGGCCCAGATTCAAACACAAAGGGCTGATGTGGATAAAGAAAATCAGGCTCCAACGTCTGTTTCAGCTGTGATGGAGAAGTCACTGAGTTCATCCAGGAAGGTCGCTGAATTCTCTTTTGGAAGGTCCCTCTGTCCTGAAGAGGATTTAAGCATGGATAGGACTGAAGCTCCGACCGGTCGCATTCTGGGACTCACTGATGACGATGATCCCTTCCAGTGTCTCTTCCCCACACAAGAAATGTACTCTCACCATGACAGCAGAGTGTCGCAGACAAAAGGGAAGACCAAGAAGGAGCAGATCAGTAAACCACAGGCACACACAGGCAACCCTAAAGGTATTTCATTTTCTATCAACCAGCTGACTGATTAATGGCCTAAATGTTCCTTGCTGATATTGTTTCACAACGTATGATACAATGACTAATTTACAGTTTAATAAGCATTTTAGTTCTATTTCCAAATTCAGATATGACGTCCTTGAAGAATCCATCTCAACATGATTTCAATCAAAGACACAAGGTAAGTTTTAAAATACCTTTACTTAAGTATTACGTAAGTTTTAAGTCTGAAAACAATCCGTCATGCCGTACTGACATGCTATATGAACAAAAGGTCAATAACATTTGGTTTGTAAACACTTTAAACAAATAAGGTTCTTTTTAACAGCAGTATTCCCTTTACACAGTAGCAGTTCTATCTCTTCACTATCTGTGCTCAGTGTGTGACTGTATGTGAAACGTTCCACTGCTGTGCAACAGGAATAAAATGTTTCAGCACGTTTCAGCAAAAATGTCTGTCTTCATGACAGTCAGAGCATGTGAATGCAGCTCTACTGTTCATCAATATAATGCTGTAACTCCGAGGTGATGATGGTTACCCAGCGATCAAAGAATAAAGACACTTTACCCAGGTGTATTTTCCCTTTAACTCACGAGATGCAGCATGTGTTATACTTAATGTGAATATAATTCATACTTTGTTGGCATCTTATTCTGAAAACCCAATGTTCGTCTGAAGAAACCGGATGTTGTCTCACGTTATTCTTTCCGCTATCTTTCAAAGTCCTTCGCTCGCTCCCGATCTGTGCCGTGAATTTCAGCATATAGGTGCACTAAAGTGTAAGTGTTTGCCGAGTTGACCACGGAGATCTGAGTGTCTGCTGACTTTACCGCAGCGATGTCCAGTAGTCTCCATTCCTCCACCGCTGCCAGTGAGCAACGGACTTTCA